ATGAGATGGGCAGTTAATCCCCTCAGTCGAGGGCAATCAATGCTGCTCATCAGGCTTCAAGGTGCGTGCCTACGTGTCGTCTCATTACCACTCAGGCTCATAGTACGASGGASASGTGGCATGTTTATATGAACTATGTTGTTTACAGGGACRCTGGACCCGCTTTCCAGCAGGTGCTGCTCCCCACCAATAGATGGAGCCTCCCCGAGCATGCTAGCGGTGTCTGCTCTTATCAGCACCCCTAGCATTTATTCGTTTTTTTTTCAAAAAAAAAAGAAAAGAAAAAAAAAAAGAAAAAGAAAAAAAAAAAGATAGTTTGGTTTCGGTTCTTCCAATACTCCAGTAGTCTGCCTGTTGTTCTTATTTTTCTTATTTTTCTTTCCTGATTTCATATGAGCGGGGTCTTGTTAGCCTTCGTTTCTGAAATACCTCAGTAGCTGTTCGGGGCAACTTCATAAATTTTCCTAGGCTACCAGCCGGGCCGCCCGGGTCCACCTTGTTCCCCCGGCGGGCAAGTGGTCTTGCGCCACTCTGGTAGCCTATAGATTTTCCTAAATGGAGGTCATGTACTGGTTCCATGTTTTTTTTTTTTTTTTTTTTTTTTTTTTTTTTTTTTTTTTTTTTCTGATGATTTGTCTTTGATAATCTTCCTTTTTCAGGCTTTTTGTGAAATTACCAATTAGTGGTGTGTTTGCTGTTTTTGGTTCGGTAAGTTTCAAAAGGTTTTCTTTTGGCAGCATGCATCCTTTTGGTCTTCCCAGGCTTTTTGTGGCTCTCTTTTTCACAGGGCACAGGTTCCGCTTGCAGGATGCACTCGGAGGCCTTCTGGCCCCTGAAACTGAAAACTCTATCTCAGTTTGTATGTTTGCCTTGGGCCTGCAGCAGTTTGTCAGATGGGATAGCAAGGGGACTATTGGCGACGCATAGTAGCATACTTGTCGCCAAAACACAAGGATATATATCTAGACATCGTCTTATCTGTCCGACCTACTGTGAGCCTACAGTAAGGACTGGGCGCTGTGTGGCTAAGGCACTTTACCACCTCCTGTATACCCTACCGAAGGATTGGCATTTCAATGTGAAATCTGTCTCTGATGTCGCATTACGTTGGCAGGCTTTGAATAGAAGGATCGATCAACGAATCAGGCAGGATACTGAGCTTGTCTCTATGTTTTACTACATTTTTTTATTATTATAATATTATTACTTTTTTTTTTTTTTTTAATATTGTCTTAAAACATGTTCAGTAAAACTGCCTCATGACCAGATTACAGAGGCAGTCGATTGGGTCGATGACTACCAAGTGAGCAAGGGAAGGGAAGCTGTACGGGTAAACCCGAGAGGTACGGGAAGGACTTGAGTTATGGCTGAACGACAGGCGACGACCACTGGAGGACAATCGATTTGGCACAGCTCCTGAAGTACGTGAGACTTGCACTCACACATACGTATTACGTACACAAAAGCGGCTGGGGTACTACTGAGGCAAGTGGTGGGAATCCCAATGGGAAAGAGTACCAGCCCGCCACTTGCGTGCATCCTGTGCGCCTTTGCAGAATTCCGCTCCCTAAAATGTTTGGGTAAGGTAACTCGGCACGTGTTTGGACTGAGAGGTGGATGGACGATGTTAGTGTGGTTATACAACTTTGTAATGGTAGCGAACAGCCTCTGAAGCGGGATATCCAGAGAAGATTCGAATGTTGCTATCCGAAGAACCTGTCTCTCAAACGTACTGATGATGGATCAGGTGTTTGGGGATTTCTTGGGGTTGGAAATGAGAGTGCAGTCCTGTTTCCCGTTTGTCGGATGTATTCAGCACACAAAAAAAACGAGAAGACGATTTGGGATGATGAGAGTTTGGAATTCAAGAACGGACAGGCCTATCAGTCCTGGGACGAGGTCCCACTTGCAAAGAGGATTGGATAAAAATCCTGAATCTGGACGTGTTTTAAGCAGAGATGCAGAAAAGCAGTTCAATCCCGACTTTCTGCACCTTTCCACAAACAAGTCCAGATTCAGGTGTTCAATCCAATCCTCTTTGCTAGTGGGACCTCGCCCCTGGGGTAGCCAGGATCCGAAAGGTGCCATCGTCTCCAGCCACTTGCATCGTATCGATAAGAAATTAAGAATACGACAATCCGCAGTGAAATTCATCTGAAAGTGTTGACACTGACGAGAGAAGTGCTGCGGATCCTTTTTTTTTCTTTTTTTTTTCCAGAGGGTTTCCGAAGCTGTTTTTGAACGACTTCGGACTTTGAAATGCTTTGCAAGAGGCAGAGAGATAGGCTGTGGAGTCTGTGGACCGTGAATTCTGGGCACCGTTGGATGAATAGCCGTCATTTGAACTCTGGCGATTTTCGATACAGGAACTCTGGCAATTTTTGATACAGGAGTTGGTAGCATAGATGGTCTTGTAACATAGCAGTCCTGGACCCTTTGGAATCCATATTTTGGAGTTAATATGATGATGCCAGCATGTCAAAAAAAAAAAAAAAAAAAAAAAAAAAGAAGAAGAAGAAGAAGATGAT